TAATGCAATAAGAATTAGTGGCTTGAGAACAGTTTCATCGTGTGCATCAGAAGGTTTGCAATACCATCGACTTGTGGTTGCTCTCTATTTGAAATACATGCTAGACATCAGCTGAAGATAAAACGAGTTGTAAGTCAGTTGTATTCTTCTATTTCATTGCATGAGGTGTCGAGCGTGCTAAAAAGGGACATATCTAAATAAACTTCAATTTTACAAAATACTGGAATAAACAAAAGAAGAACGTATCAGAAACTGTTTTTTTTCTGTACTGCAACTGATTACGTAAAAGGATCACCAGGTTCTTATAGTCCTGGTATACGACAAAAGCAGACAAACAATTATAATGAATAAAGCCAATCGGAATATGCGTACAATGGACTAGTCAACTTTTCTCACAGGAAAAAATATACATAAATTAAGAGAAACAAGATAGGAGCACAAGGAAGAATATAAAGTTTCATACATACTCTAACATGATAGACAGGAAGAGACTCTAATAAAAAGAAGTAACAAAAACAAAAAGGAATAAAAGATTTTACAATAAAGATAATCACTATCTGTTAAAGTAGACACTCTTATGAAAGCCTATGTCAATCATTCTAGAAGTGACGACGTAAAATCCATAAAGCCGATAAATACTAAGACGAGATGATACTCAAATTAAATTCAAAACCAATGAAAACTAAGAGACTCAAAACATGAAAAAGACATTAAATTTATTATTGGGTATAAATTTTAGTTTTGTTATGATAATCACAGTAGCTGTTCTAAAATTCATAATTTATTTTATTTACTGCTTATTGTCGATTGTTTAATGTGTAAAACAAGTCTATTATTCATTTCCTTGATTATTGTTGATAATCTTTCCTCTTTTTTTTGTTATTGTTGCTACTGTTGGTCACAGCAACGCAGCAGTTACTGTTGGGTGGTTAGCTACGGTGGATATTTCCACATTTGCATCACACTCTACTCTTGTTCTTCATCCTCTTTTTCTTTCAACCGTATACATAATTAAAATAAATTATGAATTTTAAAACAGCTCTATGATCAAGGTTGTCAAAGAGATATACATATACGATATGCATGCCTATTTTTTTCTTCTTTTTCTTATTGAGTATCGAACAACAGTAGCCCACGGCTGCAAAGAAAGGCTATGAAAGTAGTGAAAGCTTATAGGCGACTAACTCAGATGTAAAAAGGCATATATCATTGAGTTTCGGAAGGTTTTATCGCTTTGTGTTAGTTTTAGCAATCTTAGTGTTTTTTTCTTGGCTTGCTCTACGGGTAAAAAATAAGTTACTACTGAAATTCTTTCCTCTTCTCTTTTTTGTACAATGAAGAAAAAAACCAGATACTAATTTATTGTGTTTTTTCTTTAAATGAATAAGGAGTTCACAAAAATGAACCGCACAACAAGACCACTACGTATGCAACAATCACTGCCATGCGAAAAAAAATTTATGCACTATTAAAGCAACAACAATCTATCCTTATTCCAAATCTTAGTTCCAAGTAAAGCTAGCATTCGGTTTTTACTTTTTGAGCTGCAACAGGAAGTCAGAGCGTTCTAGAAGGGGACAGCGTATGAAAAAAAAACGTATTTTCAACAACGTTAAACGTTACGTTTTTGACGTTAGCGTTGAACTTTCACCACATTAACGTTAATGTAACATCCCTGCTGTGATTATCACAATAGTGAAGAAGGACTAGTCAAAATATTCCGAAGCACAGAAGGATAACACCTAATATATATCTCAGTCGTGCTGTTCCTTAACACTGTAAAATACAGAAGCAGAAGTGTAGGAACCTTTTTACTAATTGATGAAAGCTTTGTGTAAAAACTCGTTCAGTTTTTTTAATCTGATTGATTCTATCAGAAGCCATAGCAAAAGATCAAAACTTTTCAAAGTTAAAAGATAGTGTTCTAGGCGATGGCGGAATGTGGTTATTCTGAGACCAGAAAACTAACTTCGGCTACGTTTTTCAAAATTCAAGAAAATTTCTCGTATAGATATTGTGAGTTTTTCGTTCCGCAGAACATCTGCCTGTTCTATATGTATGCTTCTTCAATATTAGCACAATGAGAGGAAAGCTACTATATAGAATCCTGAAATTCATTTACTGATGCAAGATTTGACATAAAACTTTACTATCTTGATGTAGAATGCTCTCAAAATGTTTCAGGGTATTATCTTGATCATACGATCTCAATTTATGAATTTATGTTGTAAAAAACGAAAATCATGTGACGATGGTAATGAACAAACAGTTAGATATTGTGTCGTGGTGTTCAAAGTGTAATCATTGTTTAATTTAGAAATATTGACTTTCATTTCATCAGACTTCTTTCTCACAGCACAAACAGTTTTGTTTGATGATGGATGATTAGAGAGACAGCTACGTAAGGATGAATAAACTAAATTTTTTTTCTTACTGTTTTACATTATAAACATCTAGTCCGATGTCCGGATCAAAGATCGAATACAGAGAGATTAGCAACAAATTGTACATGCAGAATGTCGAGAATAGTAATAAAATAATTGTATAACTAACATTAGATGGTGCAAAATAAACACTACGAAGAAAATAACAAATTTTATCATATAGCATGGTTCTTCACTGTTGTATAGTCCTAAAAAAGAGAAAATGATAAGTTTACTCTTAAATCAAACCCTATGAGCATAAAATAGTTTTCTAATCTTACAAACACGCTTACAGACTTTTCCTAAAATGTCCTAAGACAAACGATGTATTGTTATCTGTTTCTGTTTCTTATACTACGAGCCATATGATTTTTCTACTTCTTTCTTCTAGTTATAACCATAAAATATTGTCTGTTACGTTCTACGACTGTTCTTTTCCTATCATCTTATCGTTATACCAAGTTGTATGATGTCATAAATTTTCTCATCATCATAATACTGTTGCTTCCACGCTTTTCTCGTTCTTCTCTTATCATGCCCATAATAACATAAATATATCTAGCAAAAAGTTAAAAGCCTACAATAAAACATATACAACAAGTGTATTCATACAATTCAGTACTGTGTCTTCTCAATTGTGAATGTAAACTCGAAATTCGAAAACTATCAAATCAATTTATAAGGTGAATGAGCGACTTTTGATATTACAGATTTGAATGTTTTTACAGTAGCGAAATATGTAGTGGCAAGGTCATATTCCTAAAAAATACACAATGTAATGAGAAGATTTACCATTGTAGGATTTTAACTCTACGACAATAAATCTCTTGAAACATTACTATGTCTTTACCAGAATAAGAGTCGTGACTGGTTTTGACGGGGTCTCATCAGATGGCTTTATTCAAATTCATCATCATAAAATGACGATGAAACTGCAACCAATCCCTAGAATAGAGGAAATAGAGTATTAAAATGTATGACTATATTAAGAACAAGTAACGCTCGTAGCTTCGACCCGCTTGACCTTCGACTCAATGGTTAAGTTTATTTATTGGTGATTGTACCTTGTTGAGATTATTGTCGACAATATGAGATGTGTCCAAGTATATCTGTTATAACATCTATCATGATGTCTAATAGTATAGCCAGTTTAGAATCATGGCGATTTTTACACATGAAATCGGTATTCTTATCGACAACTTTTTAAACAATGGTTAATAATATGAGAAAAGATATAATCCACAACTACTTGAATCAAAACTAAACAGACGCGAATTGAAATTCCCTTTTCTCTAGTTTCTCCTTGTAGTAGATATTTTTTCAAAAGAAGCTGTGAATTCTTCATCCAGATCACTGATATATTCAACCTTATCAGAACTTTCATCATATGAATAGTCTTTAGACTCATTGCCAGATTCTGAATTCATTATAATTCGATGATTTCTTTGTTAGATTTCTCGTTGAAAGCAACTTCACTTTGGGAATAATAGACGTCAAAGAAATATAGGATATGTTGAAATGAATCACACTGTCGTTTGAATAATAAGAACGAAACAAATATATATATATACATATATCGCAGAGAGAATAACAATTTACTCAAAGGCTCGTGAAAGAATATGAGAAAACAGAAGAGAAATCATGACGTCATTCTACAATTAGAGAAAGATAAAGAAAAATAATATATATGAGTCAGAAGTTGTCGACATTTGTCCTTTGTGATCTTTTATATCAAAAAGTGCACTCTACATTAGTTATCAAATGTGATCAATTGATCAGAACCTTTACTATAGGTAACACTCTTGAATGACTGTGTTAATATGAAAAATCCTGTTGATAACGATTATTCTTTCTTGGGAAATGTTGTTCAATGACTTATGTTCTAATTCATTGAATCACATAATGGTCGATAGAAATATTAGGGAACAACCAATATTCATCACTAGATACAGATAGTCTCAACCGTACAAATATCCTAGATGCAAATATTCATGTAATTCATATCATAAAATAATCAAACGATCATGTTTTCTAAAGTTATTCAGACCCTAAAGTATCAGGACGCGAATTCGCGTCGCGGTACTCAAAGGGTTAATCAGTAATCAATAGCAAGGTACGTAATTCTGTTTTTTTTTGTAGAATTAAGTGACAGAAATTCTTATCAAAATGAGTGCAAAAAATGTCGATTTATTCTATCTGAAAAATGTTACCATCGAATTATTGTCTCTCTCGAGTAAAGTCTAGAAACAATAACAACATCGAATTTTATGAAACTGTTATCAGAAAAAGTAATTTAACTCAAGTATTTTGCTTTTATGATCGGATCATAGGATTTTTTATTGTAGATAGTAAAATGAATCCATATATAAATCGACAAAATCGAACAAGCTTCAAGCAAATATTTACAACGATAGGACAGGTAAGTAATGTAATTACATTAAATGTGCATTTAAGAAATCATTTTATTTTCAGAACTGAGCAAAAAATGCAATCGATTCAATCAATTGTCTTGATCTTTTTTATTTCATCGGTAATATTTTTATTCATTAGAAGACAACTGAACATATCGTTTTGATTATGTTTGGATTGCAGTTCAAGGATAATATAAATTTTCCAATTGTGGTTCGAATCCGAGTAACCATCATATCCATTTGAAGGGTCTTCTAATAACACCTCATCCAATCAAAATACCAGGTTTTGCTTCGTTTAAGCTTGATGTTGATGTTATTGAAGATATTGTTCATCCACTTCAGGTATTTTTAACTATTCATAATAATCGTTGTATTCTTCGCTAAATTATAATTAGACTGCATTCGATTTAAAAGGAAAAGCTCTTGGTATCACTTTACCCATCAAGTGTGAAAATGGTGTTGGATCATGTATGTATCCTGATTGGTGTGTGGCTTGCTCAACATGTTCCTGTCCAGCACTCGGTGTATGAATTCCCTTTGTTCTTTGAAATTTCATAATAAATTTTTGTTGTTTCTTAAGATTAAGCAAATAATGGAAATACCAATGAATTTAACAGCAACTATTCCTATCGGCTCAAAGGCAAAAGTTAAAGCCGACATTACTTTTCGATCTGCCACAGGTCAAACAGGATGTGTCAGAATAACAGACGTTGATTTGAGAAAATAAATTCTTTTACTTCAAATAAAAACGAATGTTTTTCGAGACAAATTTGAAATAAAAACTCTGTGTTGAAATAATTATGAAGGGGTTTCATGAAAGATTTTACTTCTTGAATATATGATATAGATCTCTGTATACACCATTGATAAAGGCACTATTATAGAGCAGCATCTTATACTATACAGTTGGGCTTATAAATGTTCACTATGGGAGCCGATTAAGAGAGCAATTTGCATAGCTATCATTATCACAAATTTATAAAACATTAGAACTCACGTCTAAGATCAAAGATTCATCATTTGACTATCATCCATGTGTTTATGCATCATGAACTTTATCAGTGTCTAAAATTAACGGACTTCATCATCATATATTTTTTAGAATTGTTTGTTCTGAAATAGAAGTCAGCGTACACTATCAGTTTTGTTGATAATAATATCGAGAAAGATGATGTATTTCTAATCTCATCAGTCAACAAAGGGTGTGAGTGTGGGTGTGATTGGCGGGCGTGTGTGGGTGTGGCTGTGGGTATGCTTGTAGATAAAAAGAAGGCGCACATCCCACACATCCACCCACGCATCTACGCCCAAACTCCACACCCACCTACATCCACACCCTCACCCACACACCCACACCCACCCACACCCATCTACACCGACACCCACACCCACCCACACCCATCTACACCGACACCCACACCCAGCCACACACCCACACCCACACCCACACTCCACACCCACACCTCACACCCACACCCACACCCACAAATTCTAGTTCTGACGATGGTCTCGTAATGACCGAAAATTTGACTCAAAGACAAAACAAAGAACATCTAATTTTTCCGTTTTTCTTCCATCTTGATGTTTTGTCATATTTTATTCAAATTAAAAAATTAAAATAAAAAATGATTTTCATTTAAAAAAGAACAAAAGATAAATCAATGGTTGGTTTATCTACAATTTTAATTTTATTTTTTCTGTTGCTCGATTCATTGATGTTAAATTATATATATACAAAATTCCATGTTATCTTATTAGTACCCAAAGACCCTCAAGCCCTATTGCAAGAGAGAACCATAGGTCCTCAAGGCTTATTCCAAGGACACCCACAAGTAGAGCCCGTCGGGTCCAAGATTTTTTAAATTCGGACCCGGAAAAAGAAGTATGTGCGGTTTCATCATATTTAATGTTAATACATTGTTTGAACGTCCAGCTTGTAGAGAAATGATTCCTCTTTCACCTCATGTATTTAGAAACATACAACAATCCTAGGTGTCCGAAAATTATTTATTACAAACTTCCGGGTCCACATGTTCCGGGTCCGACCGGGTCCAAATGTGGACCCGGAAGTTTGTAATAAAAAATTTTCGGACACCTAGGATTGTTGTATGTTTCTAAATACATGAGGTGAAAGAGGAATCATTTTTCTACAAACTGGATGTTTGAACAATGTATTAACATTAAAAATGATGAAACCACACATACTTCTTTTTCCGGGTCCGAATTTAGAAAATCTTGGACCCGACGGGCTCTACCCACAAGTCCTCAAGGCCTATCCTATAGGGATATCTGTAGGTCCTCAAGCCCGATCCTATGAGGGGGATCCATAGGTTTAGATGTGGGTGTGGATTTTCTCTCGACTAACCGAGATCCACCCACACCCATACATACACTCATACCCACACCTGCACCCCCACACAACCACACCCACACCTGCACCCACACACAATCACACCCACACCCACCAGTACCTACACTCATCCATAGCCCGCTCACACCCACATTCTGCATGAAGAAAACTTCTTTTGAAACATTTAATATTTTTAAAATGACCATCTCTTTGTAAATGACACTCTTTCCCACAATTAGTTCTTCAACATTTTGCATACAGCTATGTGTCATTCTTTTTAAAGATTGATAACCAACATGAAGATCAACGACATTTGTCAAGCAAATGTTAATATTCATTAAAATTCGTTGGTATAATCATTGCAAGCTACAATATAGTGTTAATGTACCGATTTTTTAGAGTCCAGGCTCTGTCAAATAAATTAAGTATTTGCAATTATTTTGAGGATGAGTCTTCACTTCCTGTACCGTAAAAATAGAGTTAGCTCTTATTAACACTTCTTCTTCACCGGGATGGTATGACAGATGCGAAATGTCGTGAACATTTTGACCAAGAAAAGGTTTAATAACAAATAGAGTACTGCCGAATGCTTCTGCCACATCTAACGTTTTTGATGTAGATGTGAATGCTGGAAATATAATGTTTTTTCCAACAGCTCTTTTGTACTCTTCAACCATCTCGGTGTAAAATCTGTACCACGATAAACTGTTTGAAGTGCACACTGTTCACCAAAACGTAAATGCATCCATAATAAGTAGCAGAAAGGTCCTAATGTATTGGCTTTACTCATCACTCCATTTCTTAATGTTGAGTTGACCAATTTATAAAGAAAAGACTCAGCTGAATAAAGGCGAGCAGCACACTCTTGCAATTTCCATGAGTCTTTGCATTGCCTAAACTGTTCGGCCATTTGCTGAGCATCGAATTCTTGATTGAGCAATGTCCCTTCTTTTAAAATACCTGCAGAAATAACGATTCGTTGAAGAGTCGCAAATTCTATGTAATAATTACTACCTTGAGCAGCTTGATCTGCTATAACTGACCAGTTTTGTTGGTCCGGTTTACAAATTCCCTGATTTCGATCTCTCCACTGCTCAATAAAAGGACTAAAATAGCCTCCACCAGTGTTGAAAGATCGATTTGCTCTCTCTGGGTATGAAAATCTTTCTGCTCTCGCGTACTGACTTACATTGATGTCTTCACGTTTCACTTGTCTCTGTTTATCTTTATCGCTCGCTTTGTACTGAATATTATGCTTGAAGTCAATAACATAATTGTTTAAGTGTACTTCCTGCTCTTTTCGCTGATATGCTTCTTCAATGTACTTATTTGGATCGAAAGGATTTGGGTTTGATTGGTAAAACCAGACAGGTTTTTTCTTGTTTGATATTGTGGTAGTTGCTCCAGCTATCTAAAAAAACTGTTATGAACAAAGTTTGTGGCTTCCCCAGTACTATCCTCGCGAGAAGCTTGCGATGAGAAACTGTGATAGTTAGAAAACGGATGGTTTCAAAAGAATGAAGAGGCAAAAATAAGTGAAGCACATGCACGTTTTTGCGTACTATGGAAGAAAAGAAAAGAAAAGAAAATGTGTGTTTACTTTTGATTGATCAGTGCTGCATTTGTAAGTTTTTATCGATTCTAATTAGTTTCTTGGAGGTGAGGCTGAAGTTGAGTCAAGCTTCCGATGAGTGTGCGGGTGTGGGTGGATGTGGGTAGGTGTGTGACGTAGGTAGAGCCCGCCGGGTAGGACCCGGACCCGTACCCGCTCGGGTCCGGGTCCGGGTCCGGGTTCGGGTCTAAAAATTTCGTTTCGGCCGGGTCCGAGTCGGGTTCCGGGTCTGAAATTTTTTTGTGACCGGGTCCGGGTCGGGTCCAGATCTGAAGAAAACTTTGATGCATACAATGTATTGTGAACTTTTTCAAAGTTTTGTTCGTTTCATGAAGAAAAAAATTGAATGTATTTAGAAAATATACAAAAAAGCAACAAAAGACTTTTTGAATATATTATCGAAACTGATTTATCATCGTGGTTGGATCCAAAAAATTTAAGCGGCCGAGTCCGGGTCGGGTCCGGATCCAACATTTTTTAAACAAGCGGGTCCGGGTCGGGTCCGGGTCCAACCTTTTTTAAACAAGCGGGTCCGGGTCCGGGTACAAGTGTAGCAAATTGTAAACGGGTCCGGGTTCAGGTCCAAAATTTTTGGACCCGACGGGGTCTAGACGTAGGTGTGAGTGTGGGTAGATGTGGATGTGTAGGTGTGTGGTGCGGGCGAGGGTATGAAAGTGAGTGTGGGTGTGGGTGTCGGTGTGAGGGTGGGTGTAGATGTCGGTGTGGGTGTGGATGTAGGTGTAGGTTTAGAGAAGACCCACACCCACACCCCACACCGACACCGACACCGACACCGACACCCACATCCACATCCCACACCGACACCCACATCCACATCCACATCCACACCCACACCCACATCCACATCCACACCCACATCCACATCCACACCCACATCCACATCCACACCCACACCCTTATTTATGTACGGCAGTGTCGCCCATCAAATTCGATCCTAAAACAAATTTATTTAACATCAATAGACAGAGAATTTTGTGTTCGATGCTTCTAAGACTTTCTCAAGATTCCTAGTGCTGTAGCGCTTAGGATGAAAGACTTAGAACTGATGTCTGTAGATACTTATGCATACACTGTCAAAAACTATTTTTTCAAAGGCGACAGGTAATCTATGCAAGATATGCATTGTTTCGAGTTAAAAAACAACAATAATATAAGTCTCTCAGAACTGTTTGTTTTTTGATATCTTCATATTTATTTTTTACTTCAAAACTATTTCTCTTCAATATTTCTTCGAAAATTCTGAAATGTACATCCAAATATGTAGAATTTTACGAAGAATTTTGTGACATAATTGGAGTTTCAGCGGAACCTTTTTTTAAAGAATTTTATTTTATTTTATTTTTTGTTGTTTTATTGCACTGTCGCTATTGAATGATTGAGTAGATGTGAATCTTTTCAATTTTTCACTACCAAGAAAAACCTTGTTTGAAGAACCAAATTGACAGTTTTGTAGAACTTAAAGTTCTCTATCTTTCGGCACAAAAGAAATTTTTTTTCGATGGTTAAGAAACAAGAAAAAAAATGCACTGAGACTCTGCGCAGTTTATTCTAAGACTTCTAGTGTATTGTTCAATAGAAGAGAAGGAAATAGATTAGAGCTTCAGAACTGGATTATCAAACAAAGAGAAACGACAGCGGAGAATCGTCTTGGGTTTCAAATCGAGCCACTTGCAACTGTTGTCATTCTTTCAGAGTTATTTTACACAGCAGTTCATGTTTCAATGGTATGACGGACTGTTTGATGAGAAAAGGTTTTTCTCGAGAGTCTGGTTTTACGTTACAACAATCAAGTTTATTTTTTAAATTTCGGCAATAATCATTTTACTTTTCAGCTTGCTTGCTTCTCTCGAACTTGGAATATTGCAAATAACGATAGTCACGCTGTTCTTTTCCTTCCGCATTGACGTCATAGAAGAACAATCAATTTTATATGTGAAGATTGAAGGGGGCGAGGAAAATGAGAGAACGAGAACTGCGCTAGTCGACATAAGTGCGTTTGATTTAATTGAAGTGTCGATAAGATGCTATTCTTGTACTGTTCATGTGATTATCAATGGAAATATAGCTTTAAATTGTGTCAAAGTTTTGCGAATCTGGACAGAATTAATGGAAGGAAAAAAAATTGAACAATGAGAGAGATTGTAGAATATTCTGATAGCACGATTATCGTATCTTTAAAAACTACGAAGAAAAACTATGTTATGTACAAGCAAAAAGAATTTGAAAAGGAAAGAAAAAGAATTGTTCATGCAGATGTCTCTGTGATTGGTCATTGCGTAGCCAAATGATCTGTTCCACCAGATGAACTTGAGCTGGCTGCTCCACCTATTCCAGCTGAACCACCTTGGCCACTGAATCCACTGCTTGAGCCACTTTGTTGACCTGATGAACCACTGGAACCATGTTGTTGACCTGACGAACCACTGGAACCATGTTGTTGGGACGACGACTGGCCTACATTCTGTTGTCTATTCGATGAACCGCCCGAGCTGCTTCCACCAGACGCTACATTCTTCATGGTTCCACCTGGTGATTCAATATTAGCTGCATTCGACATCTTTTCAGAAGATAAATGTTGAGTTAATGGAGCTGATAATTAGAGTACGATTTTGGGTATAGAATGAGAGTGAATGAGGACAAACTGCCTTTATTTATACTCCAGCAGTGGCGTCAAGAAGAACAGTCTAAAAGAAAACTGCGTAATGAAGAAAAGAAAAAACGACGATAAAGTTCTCTTTCCTTTCAACAACAATATAATCGTCCTTAATGGCCTTGGTGAAGTATTTATTACGTTCTTCTACCATGTGTGAAGAAACAACTCACTGTTATACATTGAAAGAAAGAAAAAAAGTTCTTCCAGTACAATTAGAATAAACAATCGAAGGGGAAAGAGTCTCATTCTCCAATGGTAGAAAAATGCTTAAATTTTCTTCAATTTGCGATTCTGATGTTCCACCATTTCATATATGGCTTATGTATTTTACATTGGAGCTATACGCAAAATATGATGTGTCAAGTGATAGAAAATCGATTTAGTTTTCTTAGAAGATGAGCAAATCATGAGATATTTGCAAAATGGGACGTCAAGTGCGGTTCATAGAGTCCAATATATTAATTGCGACATACAACTATGAATAACACAAGCGGATTATAGCTACGTCATATTGATTTATGCGTTCTCGGATTTAAAATGAAACGTGAAATTAGCCAAAAAAAACGTAAGAAATTCAAAACAAAAAGAGATCTCACACTGAAAAGTCAGAGAAATGTTCCAAGAATGTACCAGCAATGAGAGAAATCTGGTCCCCCATCTTGAAACAATTGATTGGTAAAGTTCATTTCTATCGAGTTGAGTAATCATTAAAAAAAAATATTCACTATTGGTTCCTTTGATTACCACCAATGCGATGAATATGTGTCATACATCTCTCATATAATTAGAATATATTGCGTCTTACACGAAAAAATATGAACACATAATCATTACTATTAAAGTATGAGATTATTTGTTTTATACGTATTGATCTTCTCTAGAAGCATTATTGTCGGTCTCCAAAAATGTTTTCAACGTAGCAAAATCCAGTTATTCATATATCAACTAGCCAAATATGTCAACGAAGTTTTCTCGCATACATCAATATGAATACTACAATTTTTCGAAATATTTTTCGGTCCTGTCGAATATAAGAGATATATACATAAAATTTCTTTTATCATCGATATCTGATACGAAAATTATTTGTTCATAGAAATTAATTTCTTGTCAATTAATTTAACAGTAATAATACAAATACCGCGTTTCGTACTTGTCCATGATATTAATGTAAGACTGGCGCGTTGGTTTTGGTATTGACATTGATCACCATAATAATTCGATAGACAAAAACAAATTGAACTATAATTATTATTTCCGAGCCAGAGATAAACACATTTACCACAGCGACAATATGATGATAATGAAAATTTTTCCATTTCATATTGCTATCGTTCTTCAGTAGCTGATTTTTAATATAATTGATCATTTTATTTTCTGGTAGCGGATAGATTGAAAAAATGTTAAATAACCATGGAAATCGATTTCTATCGGATATTTCAAGACAAGCATGACCAATTCGATCTCCTGTTGCATGGCCAACATTCAGAGTGTGGATGTGGGTGTGGGTGTAGATGGTGGGTGTGGGTGTAGATGGTAGGTGTGGGTGGATGTGGGTGTGGGTGTGGGTGTGGGTGGGTGTGGGTGTTGGTGGGTATGGGCATGTAGGGTGTGGGTGTGCGTGTGGGTAGATGTGGGTGTAGACTAAAACTACCCCCATAATCACATCCACACCTTCACACTCACACCCACCCACACCCCAAAATTGATGTCGTGAAACATTTTCAAATGGGAAGTACTGCACGCTAAAAAAAGCGTTTGTGCGAATTAAATAAGGAGCAATTACGAAAATTAAAAGATAACGTCGAAAATCGTGTTAGGATTAGCCAAAGAAAGTTGGTCACGAGATTTAAAGTCTATGGACATGTATTTGGCAAAATTTCAACTAATTAGCTTTAAAACATCACAAAAGATAACGAGCACCAAAGTACAATTCACAACAGCTCGAACAAATACTGAGCAAATACCGACAACTAAGTCGAGAAATGACAGACCGTCAAATATTGATCATCATCGACGACGAGAAATACTTCGTCTTTTCGGACAATTACATACTCGAAAATGCAGAATTTTACTCTATTAACAAAAAAAGACACTCCATCTGTTTAATCCAATCGGTTTCATATATCCATTTTTCACAATTACTCTCATCGATACTTACCCGTAAATCCCAGATTAAATCACACAAACTAGTAAATGAAAGAGTATAAGATTGATCAGTCATGATTGATGTTAACAGATAGAACTCGCATAACATTGAGCATGCAGCATCATTGATGTTTCGACACGTGAAACTTTGCTAATTGACGGACATACGCGTCTTATCAGTTCCATCGATACATTGGCTCACACCATTGTATGAAACGGAAAGATTTCTTTATATATAGTGGCAGACAAAAATTTACAACAGTTTTTATTAGATCTTTTTTTCTTGCTATGTAACTCCAAAAATTGTTTCTTCCTAGCAAATAAAGAATACAAAAATTCTTGATATTATTGTTCTATTATCGTTTAAATAATGTAGAATTTAACACTTATTTAGTTTTGAGGAGCTGAAATATATAAAAATATGGTATAAATTTAATTTTTTGAAGAAGTCTCTTATCGATCCTAAGATAGTCAACTGTTAACTAAAGCTTGTTGGATTATCTGACATAATAGGAAGCAGCATTGATGGAACGCCTTGGAACACAGCGGAGGAATATGCATGAAATTTTAAATATGAAAACGATTAAATCAAAGTCGAGATAGATTTAAAAGTATAGGAATCTTTTTCAAGAGCAATGAAAAATCAGCAGTCCACTATTATCTAAGAAGAAAAATCATAAAACAAAAAGTTATATGCACAATTACGCATCTTCTATCCAATTTCAAAGAATTTTCTATGAAATTATCACCGAAAGAGTATTGCATCACCATTCCTGTTGTGACAGAATTATTTCAGCATGAAGTTCGGTGTAAATTTCTCTCGTCTGTAAAATTAAACCGTCAGCAAATACATCGAATATTCAGTATCTCGAAATACGTCCACTCGTTTGTTTACATCAAATAAAATGTTCCGAATCATTTTGATAATGATTTGAGAATGGAAAAATTTTAGCTAGTTTGCAAAAGAGATAATTAAACGGAGAATATGAAAAATCCAGCAAAGCAAAACAGAGCAAGTTGTTTCAATACAATTTGTGCGGAAAAATGAATAGCTTGATTATGATTAATTTGATCAAAAGAGTAAAACAATATCGATGAATGGAGAAAGAAATCTAATTCCAAATGCATATTCGATTATCAGTATCATGATATTGCTGAATTGAACATTTATAGGAATTGGATTGATGATTTTTACAAGAATCATAAAGTGTATACCTAGATTGTTTGTACCATGGAAGATATTATTCATCACTACATGAAATTTCTCGATTACACCAATATTCATCACAATTGATAGTTGGTCGTTTATAACATGTCGAAAAATTATTATACTTCTATTGAAGTAAATAATGTTGTTCATCAGTCAAATCCAAACAATCGGCTTCACCATCGAAATTGATTTAGTTCACATTCGTTTATCTCCAATCAATCAAAGTATGTCTCATCTTTTCCATCTTGTAAATTCTATTCACTGTCACATATATCTCGATAATCGAGACGTCTTTCATCATTTTCATCGAGCAATTCCTAACAAGATACTAAACAATCTTCAGGATAGTTTGAATTTTTTGCTTTCGCTTTTGATCAAATCATTTTATCGATAGTTGGCTCATTCCACGAGTATTCATAAAAGCGGCCGAAAGTATTTTCAGTACAATTACAAATGTACGCCTCACGACTTGGTCGAATTGCAAGAAATGTTTCATTAGTCATCACAAACATCAAGACGAATCAACCAGTTTAAGAGAATTTAGACAATGATGTTGTGTTCTTCCAATGTGTGATATTCTACTCGATTTCCTGCATAGCATTCACTATTACTTGTTGTCATTGCTGTATTATTATTAATGCACAAACAATAGTGTAATAAATCAGACTTATTTTGTAATAGTATGAGATAATCAATATGGGAATGATTGTCAGTATTTAAAGTATGTTCAATTATTGAACCCTTGACAATTTCAAAGATCACATAGATAAGAAGGAATTACATATGTAGAAACAAACGTAGAATCAAAATTTGAGTTTTTGAGTAAAATGATATCTATTATAGATATGGTGTCCTATTCAACAAAACGTGAATTCGCCTCCAACGCAGTAAAAAGAATCTTAATGCTCAAATTTCATTGATGTACGTGCCGCATAGATAAGTACAGGCTTTCTCTAAAGTTATACGATTGTATGTAACTTTCAATAATCAAATTGATGTCATTAAATATTATTTTATTTTTTCACGTTCAGTAAGTTCTTCGTTGCTAAAAATATACTACATAGTATTACCAAAAGACTTAAAGAAAATGATCCTTTTTCTGATGTGTTCAAGCAAGGAGGTGGATGTGTGTTTGGGTGAGAATTTACCCTTCATTCACACCAACGCCTTACCCCGATGCTCAAAACTCAAAGCCTTTTTTTCACCAGAGCAATTTGTTCTTTCAATTCTTGGATATCTTGATGATTTGGAGATGAAGAATGTTGCGCGATATCGAGTGTCTTCTGATAGAATGAGAGTGCAGTCGCGTAGTGTCCCATAGATTTATGCACGAAACTAATGTTATTATAGGTCGTACCAAGTGATGGATGGTTAGAAGGAAGAGATTTCTGTTTGATTTCAAGTGTCTTCTGATAGAACGAGAGCGCAGCCGAATAGTCTCCCATCAAATCATGCACAAGGCCAATGTTATTGTAGATAGTAGCAAATGATGGATGATTGGAAGGGAGAGATTTTTCAAAGATTTAATATGCCTTTTGATAAAACG